GAATGTACTTATTGCCACTGAATTGTAAACATAGAAAGGGTTAAAATGGTAAATTTTTTTGTGTATATTTTACCAGATTAAAAGGGGAGGGAGTAGGAAATGGGATGAGAGGTGTGTGTTTAAAAAAGTGAATTGAGAAAAATATTAAGTAGTGATATAGACACACTGGAAAAAATTTTGAAGGTGGTATCAGATAATTGAAGTTCAGCCAACACTAGGATAGAGGCAAGATCAATGGCTTAGTGAGACCTGGCCCATGTTCCAGTCTCCACACTGCCACTCACTAGCAGGATGGGCCAGATATAGCTAAAGAGTATTAGGTAAGAAGCTATGACCTCTAAGACTACTCACTACCCTATAATTCTCTTATTCTGGGCTATACTTTTGGGTTCTTTATGCAATATGAATAAAACTAAAAATAATAAGTAAGACTAAAAAAAATGCTATTTAAACATGGCAGTATTTAAAATCTAAGGACTATGTAACAGTAGGTGAGAGTCACCCATCCATTTGCTATGTATCAGGCTCTTTTCCCTTCTGTGTCCCTTGCCTAGAATGCTGTGTTATTTCTGTGTGATTGTAATCAACAGTGCTTCTGTGTACCACGTTTTTGGCATCAGTCGTCATGTATTAATCTACATCTCATCCTTTAGGTTGTGATTACTCTCAGCAAATGAAATTTTTAAATGTGTTTCATTCATACCTTGTTTTGGTAGCTGATATTCAGGAGAATCTTTTGAGTTGGTTTAAGGAAAATACTGTGATACTAATCCTTCTTGAGCTTCATCTAGTCAGTGGTAGGGTATATTAAATGATCTTAATATTTTACTTACACACAAAGCTGAGATCTTGTCTAGAAGAGAGGAAAACAGTTAATACATTCTCTTAACTAGTGTCCTAATTATGCTTTTTCTCCCATCTGCTGTTGACCATTTGTTTTGTGTATTTGGTTTCATCTAAAATTTTAATCTTCATTAGAATTGTTTTAGATCTGACTTGAGAACATAGTGTTCTATTTCTTTAGTTTGCTTTTGCATATTGACTTTGATAGAGATACAAAGATTTGCCCAAAATAACAAATAAGCTTCCTTTCAATAGAGCTACTGTTTTATTTTGATACTTTTCTAACTATAACATCTTAATTTATGTAAGCTTCTGGTTGCTCTCTCTTGAAAGTCACAGTTTTTTTTTCTGTTTTATAATTGGCTGGAAATCCCATAGCATTGCTTTTATAAATGTTTCACAAATTTTTCTTGCTTTCTCCTTTTATTTAGACATTTATGTTTACTAACAGATAGGATATTTTTGTGTATTCTATTTCTAGGTTTTGATTTTAAAAATTTTAAAAATCAATTTGATTAAAAAATACATATTTGTATAAAATTAGACTCCCAATCATGTACACCAGGTTTTAAAGTCCTACGACCAGGATTTCGGATGATGATAAAAAATAAGTTTCTCATTACCATCGTATCTTCAAAATTCAGAAAAATATTTTTAGCGCTGGCTGGGTGGCTCAGTTGGTTGGAGCGTCGTCCTGTACACCAAAAGGTTTTGGGTTCGATTTCTGGTCAGGGTGCATGCCTAGGTTGTGGGTTCAATCCCTGGTTGGAGCTCCTACGGGAGGCCACTGATCAACTGATTAGCGTTTCTCTCACACATCGATATTTCTCTCTCTCTCTCCCCCTTACCCTTACTAAAAATCAATAAAAACATACCTTCGGGTGAGTATTAAAAAAGATAAAAATTTATTTAAAAAAATTTATATTTAACTATATATAACTGTTAGTATATGTCTGTCCTGACTTTTACATGTTGATCTCATATTTTCATTAGGTTTTCAGTTTCTTGCCTACTAATACATTTGTTGTGATAAAATAGATGTGACAAAATTCTTCTCTGAAGAATGACTTCAGAGACAAATAAATTTTTATTTTCTCAACTGTTTTTCTTCTGCCTTTTCCCTTTATTATTTTTTAAGTCAAAATTGAAGAGGTTATTGACAAATATAGTAGTTGGGCCCTGCAGTTTTTATTTTGGGTAAATATGAAGTAGGGAAGTTTTACAACAAAATAACCTATGCTAGTTTTATGTCTTCTTTAAGAACTAGTAGCGTAGATTTTGGTATAGATCGTATGTTTATTTTTATTTTTATGTTTTTAATCCTCACCAGAGAATATTTTTCCCATTGCTTTTCAAAGAGTGGAAGGGGCAGAGAGAGAGGGAGAAACATGGATGTGAGAGACACATTGATTGTTTGCCTCCCGCACAAGCCCTAACCAGGGATCGAGCCTGCAGCTGAGAGGTACATGCCCGTGGCTGGAATTGAACCCGGGACCCTTCGGTCCGCAGGTCGATGCTCTAATCACTGAGCCAGACCGGCTAGGGTGATCATATGTTTATTTTTTATTTAAGTCCTTTTAAAAATACATCTTTATTGTTAAAAGTATTACAGATGTCCCCTTTCCCCCCCATTTGCCCCGTCCACCCCGCCTCCCAGGCCTTCACCTCAGTGCTGTCTGTGCCCACGGGTTATGCACATACGCCTGGAAGTTCTTTGGTTGATCTCTCCCCGGCCACCCGCCCCCTCCTTCCCTCTTAGATCGGTCAGTCTGTTCCATGCGTCCATGCCTCTGGATCTATTTTGTTTCTCAGTTTATTTTGTTCATTAGATTCCACACATAAGTGAGATCATGTGATAGTTGTCTTTCTCTGACTGGCTTATTTTGCTCAGCATAATACTCTCCAGTTCCTTTTTATCATGGAAATCTTCAAGAGTACACAAATCAGAATCCCCCACAATGCATCTCATTGCTATGTCTCTTAAGTGGTTTTTTTTGGTTTGTTTTTAATCTTCACCTGAGGATATTTTTTCTATTGTTTTCTGGGAGAGGGAAGGGGAGTGGGGGGAGGGGGGAGAGAAAGAGGGAGAAGCATCATGTGAGAGATGCACGTTGACGGGCCCCACTGTGCCCCAGCCGGAGTCAGGGAGCAAACCAACAACCCAGGTACATGCCCTTGACTGGGAATCAAACCCCAGACCCATCTGTGCACAGGCCGGCGCGCTAACCATTGGATATACCTGCCAGGGCTTAAGTGTCTTAAGGTTCATTAGTTTCCACTCTTTTCTTTAAACTCCGTGCTGTATATTTATTGAAGAAACTGGGTTATTCTAAATTTGACTGGCTGCGTACTTAAAGTGTCATTTCACGTTTGTCCAATGGCTTGATTAGATTTGGATCAGGTTTTTCTTGTTCATCACATCCAGATGCATGTGTCTGTCTCACTTACTTTTAGATAGATGGGTTAGTGTGGGTATGCAGGCCTAACACCATTGATTATTTATATATATTCACCAAAACACTCAAGCAGGAATGCTCAAAACAGCGCAAATGCCCATTAGCTGTAGAATGGATAAGTAAATTGTATTTGTATGTGATGGAATGAGTACCACAGCAATAAAAAAAACATTAACTGATGGACGCAACACTTGTGTTTCTCACAAATAAGGTTGAGTGAAAAGAGTTGACAAAATAGATGGTATCAGATATAAGAAGCTCACAAATGGACAAAATTAATGTCCCATTTAAACATTGTAGTACAGACCAATGAAACAATACTGTCTATTATAAAGTCCTTTCTCCACTTAATGGAGATAGCTCCTTAATCATATACTCAGTTTCCATGGCATTAGGGTCTGTTTCTGTATCTTGTTCCATTGGTATGTTCATTCCTATACCTGTATCACATTTAGTTACAGTTTAGTAACATGTTTGTTTTTCTTTTTATGTGTATATATTTATTGATTTCAGAGAGGAAGGGAGAGGGAGAGAGAGAGAGAAACAGTGATGAGGGAGTCATTGATCGGTTGCCTCCTGCACGATCCCCCCGAAGATCGAGCCCGCAACCCGAGCATGTGCCCTGACTGGGAATCGAATCGCGATCTCCTGGGTCCTAGGATCGATGCTCAGCCGCTGAGCCATGCCGGCCAGGCAGTAACATGTTTTAATATCTGACAGGACTCGTATCTTTCTCCAGTCGTTGCTCTGTCTTTTTAGGATTTTTCTAGCTTTTCTTCTATTTATTCTTTCAAATTAATTTTACAATCACCTTGTTTTTCTTTGGGGGGAAAAAAAATAAAACCCTAAAGGTATTTTCATTAGCATTGCATTAAATTAGTAGATCATTTTAGGGAGTACTGCTGTTTTTATGATGTTGAACCTTCCTTTCCTAGAATGTGGTTTGTCTTTCCTGTTCCCTTCTTTCAGGAATGTCGTATTCCTTATATAGGGTTTGTATTGTTTATTTTGTTAATTTTAAACCCTTTATTTTTGCAGTTGTAAATGGGGTCTTCTTTTCTACTTTTACTTCATTTTTTTCATTCATGATTTCTTTTGCTGGTTATTATTGTACATATGAGGGTTTGATTTCTGTGTGTAACTATATCCTGCTGTTTTACTACATTGTCTTGTTTGGAATAGTTTTCCCATTGATTCTTTTGGGGTTTTCAATTACATATATTATTTGCAATTGGGGTAGAGATAGTTCCACATACACCCATACCCAAGTGTTATGCCTCTAGGTTAATTGTACTGGTGAGTACCTATATAATGTTATACAAGGTGGAGTCATTTTCCTGACTTTAGTGGGAAAATGTTTAGTGTTTTCCCATTAAGGTGCTGGTTTTTGTTTTTTTTAGAACAGCTCCATTTATGAGAGAGGTAATTTACATATATAACATTTACTCATTGCAACTGTACAATTCAATGATGTTTTTAAAGTAAATTTGTATGGTGTAGCAACCATCACTACAGTGCAGTTATAGAACATTTCTATTCCAAAAAGTTTCCTTCTCCCCTTTTATAATGACTTGTAATGTTAACAGTTATATGTGTATATATTTTCGTGTGTGTTTATATGTAAATTCTATACCTGTATAAATATATTTATATCATTTAAAGAATTACCATTAATTCCTGTTTTCTTTTTAACTCAAATGAATAATATTTAAAAGTTTTCTTTTTGACATATATTAAGTTAGCAAGCCAAGTTGTAGTCTGGCTTGGCATAGTGAAAAAGAGCTCTCTACAATGAAATGTTGAAACATTACTATAAAAAGTTTTTTGATGAGAAAAGGAAGCTAGCATTTCATATTCTGAAACATCTTGTCCCATGTTGTTTCTTCAAGAGGATGGCATTCCCTGTGGACATGCTGGATAATTGCAGTCACGAGGAATTGGAAAATTCTGCCGAAGATTATATGTCAGACCTAAGGTGTGGGGACCCTGAAAATCCTGAGTGTTTTTCTCTTCTCAATATTACGGTAAGGTGTTCTGTGGTGATTTTTATTAGTCTTTTCAGTTGAGTTTATACATAGAATGAGTACCCTTAGTACCCTTTTATTTTTTATCATTTTATTTTATTTAATTAATTTATTTAAAATATATATTGATTTCAGAGAGAGGAAAGGAGANTTTTTATCATTTTATTTTATTTAATTAATTAATTTATTTAAAATATATATTGATTTCAGAGAGAGGAAAGGAGAGGGAGAGAGAGATAGAAACATCAATGATGAGAGAGTCATTGATCGGCTGCAGCCCGCAATACGGGCATATGCCCTGACCGGGAATCGAACCCCTGTCGCCTGGATCCTAGGTCGATGCTCAACCACTGAGCCACGTCCGGCCGGGCTATTTTTTATCATTTTAAAGTGTTAAGTAACACTTTTGAAATTTGTATCAGAAGACATCAGTGAAATGGATAAAAATTCTGATTGGTTAGTACAGTATAGTAGCATGATCAGGTTTTAAAAAGAAATGCTACAGGTTATTGCTTAATATTTGTGTTGTGCCTTTAGAATTAAGTAGTTTACCAATTTTCCTAAGACTGGTTACCATATTTGAGCTAACTCAGTTAAATTTTCTTTAGATTTGGAATTTGTGATATTAGAATTTTTTTTTTAATAAAAAATCAGCAAATCACTAAATTACACAATTTTGTGTCACAGACCTTCCCTTTTCTAAAGTATTAAAATGAAACTTTCAAATTAGAAAGCTGTGGTATCTTGTAATACATCCTTAGAATTGGAATCATGAGAATTCCACTGTGAACTTGATGGTATGCAAATTCTCCGACCTCTAGGCCTTAGATTTTTCTTCTGGAAAATTATGTTGATGTAAAGGATTCTTGAAGTTTCCTCTAGTACCAGTATTTTATAATTCTCTGAATTGCAATATTGCCTGTAAATGAGGGATTAGTGTTGGATTGATGAAGCAGAAAAATTTTAAAGTATTGTATGTATCTCCAAAAGATAGGAAAAAAATTTACCTGTCTGGTATCTTTTACTAGAAATTAGAATCCCCTTCCCCTCTAATAGTCTAAATAACAGATGAAAACTATAGTTGTTTTAATGACTTTATGGATCATATCATTGTTTCATTTTTATTTAGACTTGTGGCTCCTTAAACTTTCATTTTTCCAAGATAATAATCTTCCTGCAAAAGGGAATTTTGATTTACTTTTTTTTAGACTAGAAATATCTCTATGAAATGAAGTTACATAATTAGCATTAATGGAGGAAAAGTTAATATTTTGGTAGCATCATGGTGTTTTTGTCCTATATTTTCTTAACATACTCTTCATTAATTTTTAATTAATTTTCATTTCAGATTCCCATTAGCCTGTCAAATGTAGGCTTTGTACCTCTTTATGGTGGAGACCAGACCCAGAAAATTCTTGCTCTTTTTTCACCTGAGGACTCACTCACAGGTCTCTTTTTTGCTTAATCTTTAAGACTGAGGAGTTTTTCTCCAAACAATTAGAAATTTGTTAAATGGTAACTACATGAAGGAATTTAAAAAAAGAAAACTGTTTCAAACTATAAATTTAGGGAAATATAATTCTTAATTGCTTACAATTAAATGTTTAATTAGTGAAATAAAAATGGTATAAATGGGGCAACGTTGTATTATAAAAGTATGGGTATACTTAAGGGTATCTGTATAAACCTTACAAAATGGTAATGTTATGTACTTGAAGACTTAAGACTTAAATGTTAATATTATCATTTATTCTGTTTTAGCTGTGGCATTTTACCTTGCTGATCAGTGGTGGGCTATTGATGATATTGTGAAAACATCTGTCCCTTCTAGAGAGGGGCTTAAGCAGGTAATAAGATCCTATAATTTTAAGCCTTTCTTGGCCATCTCACAAGTATGTTTCTCATAGACAGTGATAGTTTTTGAAGTTACTGAGCTCTTCTCCATTTTATTATAACCAGGTTATATTAAACCCTTAGAGTTTCATTGTTCTAAAGGTGTGTGAGAGTTGGGTGAGGAAGAATGAATGCTTATGGGTTACTTGAACTGTAGTCACCCATAGCAACTTTAGCTTCTGATTTTCTTGTTAGGTAGAGAAAAAGCTAGTTCTCTCTGTGTGTGGTCGCTTAGGTTCTCTGTCTCTAGGAGACACTGACCAGGAAACTTGCTTATCAGCAGGGCCATGTTGGGAGGTTCTCAGCAACATACTGCAAAACTTTCTCTTTTTTCTGCCCTGGTCACCATTTCATAAACTTAGAAGAAGATGTGTCAATTCTGCATGCCACAGTGCTGAATGGAAGAACCAGCCTGTGAAAGGCAGAATTAAGAAACAAAAAGGAAGGATCTAACAAGATGAAAATAAATAGGGATAAATGTAAAGTAGTGCCCACAGGCTAAAAAAATTGACTGCACCACGTATCCATGAAGAGCAAACTGAAAGAGCAGCACATATGAAAAAGAGTGGGCGTGAGCTAATTAGAAGTAAAAGGTTAGCAAGAAAGCTTATTTAAAAACCTCAAGTTTATGCAGAAAAGCCCCATTGTCTTAGCAATATCTTCAATGTTTATATCTGTAATTATCTGCATGCCATCATGAAGACAGATATTAGGGATCTGGAACAATTTCAAAGATGGGGACTGGAATGGCAAAAGTACCCCAAGTTGCATTAGATTAGTCTTTCAATTATTTAGCATTGGTATGAAATTCAGGGGAATATTATGGTTCTCTTCAGATATTTGTAGGCCTTGTGGCTCCAGAATAGCAAAGCATATCTTTGGGAAATAGATTTTTGCTCAGTATGAGGAAGAATATTATGCTGATCAGAGCTGTTCAGGGGAGGAATGGGTTGCCTTAAAAGCCAACGAGCTTTGTCATTTCATGTGTTGTTTAGTATTGGAGATCTACTAGGGATGTTTTTGAGAGTAGTGTGTGTATGGGTAATGCTTTCTCTCTCCACTTAGCTAATTAGAGGGCACTCTTGTTTCTCTTTAAGGAGTCTATGGATAGAACTCTTGTTTTTAGCAGTGAAAGATGGCTGTTGGGGAAAACCCTACTGTTTGATGTCAGAAAGTTGGTAAGGGGGGCCCTGTGATCATGTAGCCCTGCACGTAAGAAGTGCGGCTCAGTTTCCATTCTGTGATTACCCCAGGTATGTTTTCACTAGACTTCCCTGGTGCCACTGTCATCACTTGCCCGGCTGAGGAGTATATATGTGTGCGTGTGGCCAAGGGGGTGGGTATTCCTTATAGTTAGACAACAAAAACACAACTGTTAAATGAACATTTTACCTGGAAAAGATGAGAAGATTCCTTCCCCAGGAGCATTATTACAGCTTTGCTCATCAAATAAGGTAATTGGTCTTAATGCCTTCAGGGGATAACATGAAGCCTTTTTTCCTTTTTTTCTTTTTAATGTGGAGGCTGAACTGGGTGAAAAAGGGTTGAAACAGTAGAGGTGGTGGAGGCGGCAGTTAAGGTGGTTGAGACCTGCTCAGGGCAGCTGGAAGCAGAAAGAAAACGCTGAATGCTAAAGAGGAGATGCTGGGGATTGGTGCACTGGAAACTCGTTTTGCCTGTTTTAGAATTTTGCTGAGGCAGTATTCATCCATAATATGTGTGCATAGAAATGGATTGTTATTGGCATGGATGATTAGCTTTATCTCTGTGATGATGAAATGTTTTACAAATCATCTTGAATGTATTCAAAGTGCTCTGAATGCCAGTGTAGGTAGGACGAAGGGAGTGCGGTAAATAGCACCTCTCAGTTGGTGCCTATTGTAACTGTTGTGCCTGGTGTTCGACTCTTTTTGTAGGTGAGAACTCTTGGAGAGAGAGTGGTCCTGTATGTTCTGAATCGAATTATTTATAGAAAACAGGAAATGGAGAGAAGTGAGATCCCGTTCCTGTGTCATAGCAGTACTGATTATGCTAAGATTCTATGGAAAAAAGGAGAGGCCATTGGGTTTTACTCAGTTAAGCCTACAGGTGAGTCTTTAAATGTTACTTAAACTGTGTGTGATGGAAACCCCCTTTTCAGACCCCAACTGTATCAGTATTCCTTTTAAATGAATCTCGAGTATAAATTGAAGTGATTTTACTTAGTATTTTGGGGGAGAATATTTTGATTGAGCCTCAAATTTGTCCATCTTTTCCCATGTTCTTCCCTTTATTTAAAGGTCGTTTACTGTGATTCTGCTGTTACCACCATTTCTGGCTCCCTTTAAACTCTTGTTTAGCTGTGGATCCAAGTGCATACCTCTTTCTGCTTAGTGCCGCAGATTTAGCTTGACATATTAATAATTAGCGGCTTTGCTAATTACCATGAAAAACAGCTTTTGAAATTGCGAAATCTTCTAAAGTTTGTATTTCTGATCCTAAGACTCAACTATACCCTACTCCTAAGAGACCAGTGTAGCTTCATCTTGTTTGACCTGTTTTCCTGCTCACTTGCTGTCTAGATGTACTGGAGCCAGAAAGATCTAACCTGCTTACTCCATGTATACAAATTACCAAATAACAAAGTTGACCTTGTTCTGTACCTTGACCAAAAGACCTTTCTCTGACTGAGAACACTCACATTTTTCTGTCTTTTTTGCATTTCAAACCTTCCAAACTTAGCTTTTCTGGTCAGATCCAGTGTAAAGGTCATATGGAATTCACCGCTGATTTGAACAGTTGTGACCGGTATCTTAATCACATAATTGGTAACCATTTATGATGAGGTTATGCACACAGTCAGTAAAAGTAAGGCCACTTTTTCTCAACAATAAAAAACTGTGACCTAGAGTTTAAAATGGTTTTGTTGTTTAGTAAATACTTTGGTTCTCCTTTAATATTCTGTTTTATTCTTGTATAAATTTGAAATAAAATCAATGATTCATGTAACTCCAGAAAGAGATCATTATACAAGGACAGAATAATACTGTTTGTTAAATGGAAGCTTGCTACTGCATTGCATAAAAGGCATCACGTTGTTTTAAAACGTTTTAGCAAGTTTGGGGCTGAGGTGTGGTTTAATTTCTTTATGCTTTAATTTATGCAAGATAATTTCTATGGGAATGGCAGCTTTTCACTTTTCACTCTGGCTCCAGGGGAGTTTCCTATCTGAAATTAGCTCATAGATATTTCGAGCACATATTACTTTTTTCACTTTTTTGTTTAGAGCTTGCTTTAGACGAAAGACCCACAGTTAAAGGGCATAGCGTTCCCCTTCTAGTATTGATGATCAGCATTTGATTCCAGGAGTGTGTTCCTCTTCATTTTATGTACATTTGGGGTTCCTCCTCTCCTCTGAGACCTGACCTTTATTTTTGTTTGTTCTGGTTGTTAACTCAATTTTATATCTTAGAGCTTCCAAGTGCTACTTTTCTACCACTTTTAGTACCTTTGACACCTCTCTGCTAATTGCTTTACATCCTTACTATTTTTGTTCTCACTTTACGCTCTGGCTTTCCCCTACCAGATGACAGTGGAATTAGGTGTGCTTATACTAGCCTTTGGATCAGTAACCATTTAATTTAATCTGGAAATGTACATTTTTTTAACACAAAGGAAACCCAAACATAAAATGTTTTGGAAAAACTGTCCAAAACAAATACTAAAACACTTTGTGATAGAAGTACTTCCTACATACATATCAGAAAAAGAACTCTTTATTAAATAAAGTTCTAGTTGAGTGAAAGCCTTATGCAATCACTTATTACTTACGACTTTGTAATTAAATAGCAAAACAGTGAATGGGGATAATAGTTGGGACGTAAAAATAGGCTTTATATATAAAAGGAGGCTTTGTTTCTGAGGTTAAATTCTATTACAGTACAGTGAAACTTAAACTATGTAAATTCTTTTTTGCCTGAAGTAAGAGATCACTGTGAGGGACTTATTGTTTGTTTATTTTTTGGGTTAGGTAGATGTCAGGTTATTAAAAATAGTTTTTTGCACTAGGTTATTGTGTGATATCTGACATAAAACTCTAAGCAAGCTCAGATTGAGTAACACCACCACTATGTCAAAAGGTTTTCTGGTCTTGTTTACAGTTATTAAACACTTTTATCTATAAAAATTAAAAAAAAAATAGGAATAGGGTTAATGCTGAACCTTGTCTCATTCTGGTAGTAAGTAATATTCATTCATGGACATATAAGTGAAAAAAAAGGTAAGCCCTATATTTCATTAAGAGGTGTATTTTCAGTAGAATTTAACTTTTTTGCTTACTGCTTAGTTTTTCAAATATATAATATACTTGTGTTTTGATCCATCATGTACTAAAATTAACTACAACGATAATTTAGAATTTCTTTTGGGTTGATACTTGGAACCTAATGGTCACAAGAAATTTAAAAATTTTATACTTATATACAGATATATTTTTACAGAGAATGATTGGATAATCAGTAAACTTTCACGTATAGAAATACATTATATAGGATAATAGTCTGTAGAATAAATATAATAGAAATAATAGTTCAAGTGGAAAAGGGAACAGTGTAGAATTTTGAGTGTTAAAGAATGATTAGTTCAATAGTAAAGGAATAGTTTATTCAATGCATGCTGACAGTCATAAAATTGATAATAGTTTTTAGGGTCCATTTGATACATTTAAAAGGTTAATGTAATAAATTTTGTTTTTCTTTAAGACAATATTGTTGGTTAATTGCAAAGGGAAAAATAGTAAATTTACATAGAGAATACCGGCAGACATCATGTTAACCAAACATCATGGTTAATATCACCAGGAATAAGACATACTAATATCATGGACCCCAGAAGGGCATAACATGGTATCTGTGGTATTTTTGCCCAAAATGCATAACCTCAATTTTATCATGAGAAAACACTAGACAAAGACAAATTGAAGGTTATTCTACAATATAACTGATGAGTAATCTCGAAAAGTATCAACATCATGAAAGACAAGAAAAGATGGAGGAATTACCAAAAACCAGAAATTAAGGAGACATTAAATGCATTATGGGATCCTAGATTAGATCCTGAAACAGAAAAAGAATATCAGTGGAAAAACTGGTGAAATTGGTATAAGATATGCAATTTAGTTAATAGTATTTTATCAGTATTGACTTCCTGGTTTTGATAATAGTACTTGGCTCTGTGAGATGTTAACATTAGGGAAGCTGGGTGAAGGGTATATGGCAACCCTTTCTATATTTTTGCAACTTTTTATGAGTCTAAAATTATTTTTAAAATAAAGTTTTAAAAAAGTTGACATTGGTAATATGCTAGAAATTACATCCTTTGTAATCATTGAAAGTTAAGGTGAAAATTTTAGATGTTACCAAAGATATGTGAATACATGATATTTCAAAATTATTTAATGGTTACATGAGCAAGAAAGTTTCCTTTGAGGTATTTGTCTTGGCCAAGAAAAAAAAAATTGAAAATTACCAGTGTAAGTGGTAGCCCTGGGAAAGGTTTTAGCTGCATCATCTCTCCATGAAGCTCATTGTCAGCAACCACCACCACGCACACGGAACTTCTAACGTGCTTTTTAATCTCATTCCTAAGTATAAACAGCTTAGTTGGGGAAAGCCACTCGTGTGAAAGATGGAGATCAAAACAAAAAAGAATAAAAACTTTTTGAAAGAGATACTGCAAAAACAATAAACTCAGTTTTTGGAAGGTGAGAGTAGAGTAGCTATTACATTCATGAAATGATGTATTAAAAGATCAAAGTTGAGGAAATTGATCAGAAAGGAGAGCAAAAAAGCAACAGTAAACCATAAATGAGGGAAAATAGGAAAGAAAATATAAAAATTAGAGGAATGGTCTGAAGGACCATTAAGGATGTTTCAGAAGAAGAAAACAGAAACTGGGAGGGAAGAAATCGCCAATGAAATAATCCAAGAACATATCTCAGAACTACGGAACGTGCATTTCCAGTTTAAAAGGGCCCAATGAACATCCATCATGATGAATTAAAATAGACCCACACAGAGATCAATTATTATGAACTATCAGAACATCTGAAATAATGAAAAGACTGTAAACCTCCAGCAAGTGAAAAATGTATACAAAGGATGAAGACTCAGATTGTATTTCTCAGCAGTAACACTGAATACCACAAGTGGCACAGTGGCTTTAAGATCCTGAGGGAAAGTGATTTCCAGTATAATTCAGTGCTCAAATTATCAGTGAAGTATGGGAGTAAAAGAAGGAAATTTTTAGATGGTTAATTAAAAAAAAAAAATATCTCCACCATTTTTCAGGAAGCTAGTAAGTAGAGTTAATGCTCTACCAAAATAAGGAGATAAACCCAGAAAGAAAGATAACCGATCAGGAAACTAAGGAAAATATATCCCCATATCATAGTTATGTAATAGTCCTGGAGCAGCTCTGCCCAGATTAGTAACCACTAGCTTTAATTGGCCATTTAATGAAAATTAAAATTAAGTATAATTAAAAATTAAAATTTTCAATTATCCTAGCCACTTTGTATGTGTTCAGTAGCCACTTACAATGTGACTAGTGGCTACCACATTGAACAGAATATATATATATACAATTTCATCATTAGAGAAGTTTTAGACAACCCTTTTCTAGAGATTGATCTAGATTGTAACAGGTCAGAAAGCTCTGGGACAGCCTGGCTGGGCAGCTCAGTTAATTGGAGTGTTGTCCCAGACACCAAAAGATTGCAGGTTTGATCCCTGGTTGGGGCATGTAGGGAAAGCAACTGATTGATGCTTCTCTCTAACATCCATGTTTCTCTGTCTGTCCCTAAAAATCAATAAAAACATATCCTTGGGTGAGGATTAAAAGAAAGCAAGCTCTGAAACATTGATTCAAGAATATGGAATACCTGATGTGTTTGACCCTATCAAAGTAGATTTACACAGTTATAGGAGGCTTTGGGGGATCAGAGGTCAGTAATAGTGACAAACCATTATTAAGGCAAATCAAAAAGCAGTGCAGGAAAAGATAAATGATCCTACTACATGGCTCAGTTGTCAAAAGTATATAAATGTATA